CGACTTTGTTTGTAGCTTCAACGTATTTTATGCTATTTTGAATGCTGGCAAGCTCAAGAAAATTATTATGATAAAACTTAATGCGTAAGAAGTGCTTTCTTTATTTTCTCTCGATGTTCTTTGGTAGAAAGATTTGAAAAAAAACACAATACCATGAAAGTTGTATACCGTGAAAGAGTAACAAGCAAACACAGTGTTTGTTTGTTACTCTTTCACGCTGAAACGGCTGCACGAATTTCGATGAAATTTAATACACAGATAAACTATGACCTGGTTCTAGTTTGCTAGGCACCTGTATACAATATATTAGTTGTATAGATTAAAAGTTATAATTAGATGTAGAGGAAATAATAATTAAATTTGGTAACATTTGATGAAAAATATCTGCTCTGACGGTTCTAGCTACATTTATATATATCATGTTGTGTGGTTCTCTCCGAATCCTTTTGGTACAAAAACTAAACAATGTTAAGGAAAACCTATGAATAAACAAATAGAGTACATTTTAGAGTTATATTAAAATTACTTTCTATTTTAAATGACTTCAACTCTAGAACCGCTGAAAAACATGTTATTCAAATTATTTATATACAAAAGTTAGTCTATCTGTTTTTCCGTGCACGCACGTGTGTAGGTAAATTTTTACCCGAATATCCAAGAAGGAGAGTAATGTTTTTATAGTTTGAACTGCTGGATGACATTTAAAATATTTATTTTTTGATATAGTATTTTATATACTTATATTTATTTATTTAAAACAAATATATCCCACGGGAACCGTACATTTTGAATTGTCGATATAAAGTATTGTACTATTCCAGACCATAATATCTCCCTGCCAAACATCTAGATCTGTTCATCCGTTCGAAACTAAAAGAAAAATAAAATATGAGTGAGATGTTAGAATAGTTTTTAGAATTTTTGTCTGTCTGTCTGTCTGTCTGTCTGTTACCGCATCACAGAAAAACTACTGGAGGGATTTTAATGAAATTTGGTACAGAGATAGCTGGTAATCCGGGTCAACATATAGGATACTTTTTACCGCGGGAAAATGTCTCATTTATGAGAAAAAATACAAAAACTGCAATGTAGTATTCTAATATATAAAACCTAAGAATTTGGTTTTTGATCATCTGAACGCGGGCGAAGCCGCGGGCAATGCTAGTACCAAAATAAATGAGAAAATTTGTATTTCTGTGTGTCTTTACGCCTATGACTAAACTAGCTACTTACTCTCGCATCGCTCCGGCACGTTCCTTGTTTTTTAAATTATTATTATTAGCGACACACCCTCGCTTCACTCGATTTCATCTCTAGGTAGTTTTAACAGTTGATATCCCACGGGCACCGTACATTTTTCCAAGATAAAAAGTGTGCTATTTCAGACTATAATCTATCTTTGTGCCAAGTTTCATCCAGATTCGTTCTGTGGTGATTGAATTAAACAAACATCCATCCATCCAAACTTTCGCATTTATAATATTTATAACAGCACCTTTTGATGTTTATTATTACTAACAGTAAATTATGTGCCATTACCAGGTCATAGTGTATCTGTATACTAAACTTCATCCAAAACCTTCCAGCCGTTTTACCGTAAAGGCGTCACAAACAAACTTTCACATTTACACATTTAGGTAGGTATAGTAGTAATGTGAGAGTATAGTAAAGTTATTATAATTATTTAATATTTTTTACTAATTTTGCATGTAAAACTACAGTAGTACATTAGTGTTATATATATAACGAGTTTTACATCTCCTGCTAACACATAAGATCTTCTTACAAGACAATTCGAACTTTTAAAAGCTATTTAAACGTTTATTAAGCTTTCAAATCTTACCTCTGTCTCAAAGGGGGTCGCTTTAATTAACTTTTAATGGTTTCAGCGTAGTTAAGAAGTTTAGAATCAAAATATGTGGAAATTATACACTTTCCAAGTTAATCAAAAATTATAATTAACCATTGTTTATTATTGCTTTTTTTAATTTTATATCGATTTTAATAAAGTAAAGATAATTTTTGCTTTGTTTGGTCCCATTTAAATTAAAAAAAATATTACACCCCTAAGGATGGAAAAATAGCTGATGAAAATTTACGTATTACATAACCTACTTCTAATTGTCATAATAACTTAAAACATTGTGACTTAAAACATTATAACTTAAAACAGTGATTGGGTATCGACGACATGATCTGATAGGTGGAACTCTTCAAATAGGTGGAACTCTTCAATGACATATAGTAAAATTTCATGTTATTTGAAAATCGTCACTTCCAACCCCGCTCTCCCCTACATACTTTGAGTTTGAGTTTATTTTGTTTGATTTGACAAACCTAATACTTTGGAATTGGATTTTAGAGCCTGATTTTTTGTGTTACTAATAAAAGCGAATTTTGGTTTGTCAGTCTTCATATAAAAATTGACGCTTCCTTCTTACTTTACAACTACTATATCTACACTAACAATGGAAATATAAAAACTTACTTAAAACACACTTTAAAAAGTAAAAAAATAACTGATTGATAGTTTTCATTTACTTTAGATAATTAATCAGATATTTTTGAAGTCAGCCGACATAAATAAAAGCACACCGACATTTTAAATAAAACTATCTTTCCGGATTATTTCGCGGATTTATTTTGATTTTTGGTTCCCGACGTTTTGGAATGCTTTACAGCAATCATGATCACGGGGGAGAATAAGGTTTTAGACGTCTCAAAGGCGTTATATTCTTGTTACAGACATTGCCTACCTACAAGTAATGCTTATAGGCTCGATAAGCTTAATCGGTAATTGAGCTTACCATAAATATAATAAAAATATTTTTTAAATTCTCTCATCAAAATCGTCTGATAAAAAATGACGATTATTCTACTTCGAAGTATTTAGCGGTAAATTCTCTAGGGATGAATATTAGAGGATGATATAAAACTTAGGGGTGGAACTATGTGAACAAACCAGTGCCATAGATTAATAGTCAGTGCTAGTCTAAGCTATATAAAAACTTAAAAAAAAATACAAATAATGCCGATGCAAAGCAAATGTATTATATTTCGATACGTAAAATACAAATTTTCATATTAGATATTCATATCTTAAAATATTTTCGACTGGCACCGACTTTGAAAATATCTGATTTTCACATTTTAGGGCCTGGAAGTCGGTTTTTCTCTTTTTTTTTAAGTTTTTATTTTTCCATTTTTAGTGTAGACGTAACAAGCAGGTAATTTGTAAGAAGAAAGTTTTTTCATAACATATTCGATTAAACAATTTATTTAAAAATATATTTATTGTTGATTTTTTTTTTAAACCGCTCGACCGATTTCGATAAAATTTATATGGGACCACCTTTGAAACAAAAAAAAAATACAAATCGGTTCAGGTGTCTTCGGGTAATCGGTGAACATACATAAAAAAAAGATTCCGACGAATTGAGGACCTCCTCTTTTTTGGAAGTCGGTTAACAAAGGAAAAATAAATTTAATGGATGTGTATACATCACAAATAAAAATTAAAATGTACGTATTTTAATTTGATCAATTTCATTAAAGAGCGTACTGTGTTCGATGTATCCAGGAATAATTAAAGAATAATTTGTTTACATGACTACATATTGTAAAATAAATCCCGCTGTCTGAACGTGATAGACTCAAAAACTACTGAACGAATTTTCACACGGTTTTTACCAATAGACGAAGTAATTTATGAGGAAGATTTAAATGTAAAATTCATTAAGGATCTGTGTAAATTGACTGAAATATGACGGTAATTGCTGAAGAATTTTAAATTCATAAAAAAATAAAAAATTATATTAAATATATAAAATATTAAAAACAGTTATTATTAACACATTTTTTTTAATTTATATACTACATGTCTTATTTTTTTGCTCGATTAAAGTAAAAACTTTTCAACAATCGATTCAGTATTTATTTTTTTATTTATGATATTGATTTATTTTATAATTTATAATATTAAATTAGTTTTCTTTGTGAAAACTTTCAATATCGACGTGAATTTTCCTAAGAACATTAAAATTAAGACGGCACAAGTTCCAATCGCATCTTACCTAAGGTTTGTTAATTAACTTTTCAGTTTCCAGTTATAATGACTTATTAAAACTGCACAGAAAATATTATTATTTATAAGGATTTTTTTGTTATTATTTCGATTTTTTATCATTGTTGTTTTTGGATTTATTTTTAATGTAATTACTTAATTAATAATTTATTTTTGACTATTTAAAATATTTACGAAGTAGGTTGTCGTAGTAATCGTAGTTAAATTTTTAAATTTACATAACAACAAAAAAATTATTAATCCACTCATATTATTTTTTATAACATACTTACAGAAATAATTGTAAATTTTATTGTCTTGAATTATTCTTTTTATAAAAAAATATACATACTTTTAAATCAAGTTAAATATCTAGTTTATTTTTTAATTATTCGCCTCTCAATTGCAATACCATAACGTATAAAATAAAAAAAAAACATAATATACATATAATATACGGAAACACTTATATTTTTTAGATCAATTAATGTTAAAAAAACATCTTATTTAAAACTAGAAACAAATAGCGAATGATTTTGAATTTTAGTCACTTTTTTTGATTTTCCAATAAATGAACATCTGAATTGCAATGCCATCGCGTGGAAAATTAAAAATTAGTATCACAGAAATATTTGTAAGTATTTTTTAACCTCAATTTAATGTTATTAAAAAATAAACGCCTTATTGTAAATTACAAACAAATAGCCAATAATTTTAATATTTAATTTTCATTTCAATGGTATATCTATTTCAATTGATTTCGTGTAAAATTAAAAAATGTACGCAATATAACAAATTTTAAACTATTTTAAAATTACAGTGAAATCGCCAACAATTTAAAATTACAGTCACAATTATTTTTAAGTCTTGATATTTAAATTCCATCGCCTATTAACTTAAAAATATAAAATATTTAAAAATATCTTACCTGTAGGCGATGTGCCGTATAGTGCGGGTACAAGAAGAGTGGCGCGTTGGTTCGCCGTCGAGCCTTTTATTGCTGCATGTGGGTTCCGAAGTGCCCGAGTTTACAGGTGGGCGGATTGGAATAGAAAAACTGTGGAGTGGATTGCTTATATTATTAATATATTACTATGTATTACATACTTGTACTACATTAACTTTTACTTACGTTACGTTATTGTAAATGTAAAAAGTTTTTATTGATCGCCTCATTTTTCAGACTGACATGCATATAGATTCCATTAAAAAGATTTTCCAAATTATGATTAAAATCCTGAGTAAAGAAAATTATTACATACGAATATAATAAAAACCGATATGAGTAAGAAATTAAAAGAAATTTTAAATGAAATATCGTTAACATTCATATAATTTTGTAATAAAACGAACTTGTGTGTGAAATTTTATCATAATTATGCGAGCTTCTCAATTCCAAGTATTTAATTAAAAAAACCATCCTAGTATCTCAACCACATAGTCCGTGTACACTTATGTTTTCTTTATAGGATATCTAGATCTGATACTCTACTAAATGATGACACAAAGACCACGATTAACTATTTTTATCTAAATTAAATCGAAACAATATCGAGACTATGGAACACTACAAAATATTAATATATTATTATATAAAATACTTCAAACAACTACTCCATACCTTTTATGTTCTCGCATAGTGATATCGCGAGCGCAGCCCCGCGTCGATTTTTATAATTAAACCACCAAAGATCACTAGAGACCGAGCTTAATGAACTTACATGTACTTATATTTCAATTGTATCCACTAAATTTTACCTGCGTCTTCACTCATCTATAACTATATGTACATATTTAGATAAAATCCCTATTATTATTAATATTATAAATGTGAACGTTTGTGAGTATGGATGTATGGATGTTTGTTACTTTTTCACGCAAGAACGGCAGAACAGATCTGGATGAAATTTGGCACAGAGATAGATTATAGTCTGGAATAACATATAAGCTACTTTTTATTCCAGAAAAATGTACGGTTCCCGTGGGATAGGGCTGTTTTTATTTTCCTAGAGGTGAGGTTTTGAGCGAAGCGAGGGTGAGCCGCTAGTTTAATTTAAATTTTAAAAATGTAAAAAGTGACAATTAAAAAATGCTCATAAAAGTCTATATGAATAAAATATATTTTGGTTTAATTTGATTTGCCACTATTAAAAAAATAAATACATCCCGAATATTTTCACCCTAAAACGGCTGAATATTTGGATGAAATGTTATTGAAGCTATTTACTGTAAGTACTTATCTATACTAATATTATGAAGAGGTAAAGTTTTTGAGTTTGTGTCGTTGAAGGGGGTAATCTCTTTGAACTTTTTAAACCGAGTTAGATGAAATTTGGTAAGAAGATAGTTTAAAACCTTGGGAAGAACAAGATACTTTTTATCCCGGTAATCATCTCTGAAGATAGTTTAAAACCTTGGGAAGAACAAGATACTTTTTATCCCGGTAATCATCTCTTAAGGGGATGAAAATGGGGATGAAAGTTTGTATTGGGAAGCAAGCTAGTGACGAACTCGAGCAAAGCGAGGGTGAGTCGCTAGTCTTTAAATAAAAAGTAAGTGCTTGTTCCAAAATAGTTAACCCATGAGTATTTGCACATTATTAATTTCGGCAATGTTGAAACGACTTAAAATTCATGTGACTGTTAAAAAATTGGCTTTCTGTCGGTATAGACAAATATCCTAAACTTTTATGTTAAAAAAAAAACAAATTATTTATGTCCACGATGTTAACACCGGTACTCTTTACCACGGGAAAAAACGTTATAATACAACCCAAAAAAATATTTATTATCAGAATTACTTGAAACTTGGTATTAATGCTCTTCAATAAAATTGAAGAAATATTAGATTGAAAAAATATTGAAAAAGTAATATTAAATATTTGTCAGACAATAACAACGGTTACCATGGCAACATGGCGATGTATTCTATCTCATTCTCTCACCGGCTTAATCCTATATATATTTATGTGTTTGTCTATTTTCAACCGACTTCAAAAAGGAGGAGGTTCTCAATTCGCCTGTATGTTTTTTTTTTAGTGTCGCATTTTCGTTTCATCGGGTTTAAAATCACAACGATTCTAAAGAAGTTTCACTTCAAAAATACAGCTGAATTGAGAACCTACTCCTTTTTGAAGAAGTCTGTTGAAAAGGACCTCCTCGTAAAAAATATATTTTCTACAAATTTTTTTCAGTGCGGCACGTTATAGCACATATCGGGCATAAATTATTTAGTTAATTTTTAAAAAGGCATTTTATCAATGCATATTTTTTGAATTTTTGGTAATGGTTCTGTGCTTAATCTATAGATGGCGCTAATTTATATGAATTACCAACTAAGTTAAAAAAAAAACTTAATTTTTTTTTAAAAGAGCACGTTAAGCAGTCAATATTATAAATAATATAATATGTTGCAAACACAAGAATCTGTTCCTCTAAGTACCTGCTCAATTCCAAAAAGATTGAAAAAAATTATACGGGTTCTTCACTGATAAATAAACATTTTAAAATACGAAATATTAGAATTGATTAGATCTGTGGAAGTTGCTCATATCCTTTTATTATCTAGAAAAGAGAACCAAAAAAAAAATTAAAATCGGTTCATACGTTTAGGCTCTACGAATAAATGAATACCACAGCAAACACACAGACTTATTAACTTGTAACGCCTCTCATTTTGCTTTAATAAAAATTAGATAAATTAATATTTCTAAATTAGTTTTTTTTAATACTAAAATATTATGTTACACTAATACAATTTTCGCGAATACCGTAGGACGTAGGGTAATCGCGGAACAAATGTCTAATTATAAATAAAGACAAATAATAATTTAAAAATTATTATTTGTCATTAACGTGAGGGTAGTACGAAAACAATTCGATAGAATAGATTAAAATTTGACTCAGACGCGGACGAGACACGAGCGAAGCAGAGGCGCAACACCGTGTTTTATCAAGTAAGTGTTTTTTTTTACCAGTAGATGCATATTCAGTGTTTTACCGACCAATCTCCTTCGTGTCTTCTCCATTGTAGGCGACATTGGCCAAGTAATCTGTGCTCAACTGGCGCTAACAATAACGCTTTGAAGTCATTAACAAGAAAATTGAATTGAATATTTAGTATTGTTGCATATTATACAGATTGCTAGATCAGAAATCAGATTCACAGTATTAGATTCAGCATAGACATGTGTTAGCATATTATCAGAGATATCAGACCAGTGATGTGAGATCAGTTAAATCAGTTTATAATATCAGATCAGTTACCAGTTTATCGAAACTCAGGGTGGATATATGGTGGTTGGACTACCGAGCGAGCCACTAGCGAGGGATCAGACCCTTGCCTTAATTCATTGCCAGCAATGAGTAAACCATATGTTTATCAGTTACATTATAATTACGATTTATGCTATCTGTTATCATTGCGTAACATATTATATTCGTCTAATAACAATGAACAGGGTATTTGGCGGCAACAATATTGTTGTATTTTTCGAGATGGAAATTTTGTCTGTCTGTCGAATTGATTAAATTGTGCAATTAGGTACATTTCGATCCCAAGGCTGGGACAATCATTTTAAACAGCTTTTTTTAAATAGTTCATTTTGGTGTTATAATCTTATAGGAGTCTGTAGCCTCTAATGAGGGAAGGGAGAAACGATGGCTCTCCGAACTTTCTATGGCATTGTAGAGCCATTTGCGATCCCATTGCTCAGTTCCTTTAACTTGAAACATTATAAAATTCGGTCCAACCATTCATAAGATCTGTATTTATTTTAAAAATCTGAAAAGACTGTTCTTTGTTTATTTAATTGCGCTAACCTCTAGAGATTAGGTTTAGATTAACTAACAGTCAGATTTGAAAAATTATATGATGATACGAATATTCCTCAGCTAAATACGCGAGATCGAAAACACTAGTACTTATATAATTTTACCTAAAACTACTAATCACACAATAAGTATAAATGAGAATGTTTTTATGTTTGTTACTTCCTCACCCTGAAACGGCTGGACGGATTTGGATGAAATTTAGAACACAAATAGACTATGGACCTGGAGCTAAACGTATTTAGGTTATTGTTAGTAATAAGATTTGCAAAAATAAAATTTGAACGTATCCAAAAAATATATGATGTTAAATATATGTTTACAATTATTTTACTACTTTATAGTAAAATAATTGTAAACATATATTTAACATTATTATTTTATGATGGCAGGATAAATTGGATGATGTCATAACAGATGGGGTCAAGAAATATTTTTTTATATTCTTTAAATGCAATACAATGGTTTTATCTCTATTATTATTTTTTTCTTATCTTTTTAATTACATAGATTATTTATTTTAATTTATTAACAGAAATTGCAAATTTATTCAGAAATATCAAAATTGCTGTCAACAGATTTATCACTTGTGAGGTGTTTTTAGAAGTTGTTGAGGCACAATAGTCGTTGTTGCAATCCTTTACTTAATCAGTGCAGTTTCCTTCTCCTCTTCAACATCAACATCATAATCAGCCTGCTTCCATCCACTGCTGGACATAGGAGTCTCCAACACCACTACACCACTGAGATAGACCATCAACTCTAGCATCTAACTGCTGTCCGCCATTTTGCGTATATCGTCGCTCTAGATCATCATCATCCATCATCCTCCTGCCTATTTCCCAAATTACTTGGGGTCAGCGAAGTACATCTCGTAAAACTTAGTAGCGTAGCGTAGTTCATCGTCCTAAAACTTTTGCTAAAACCGAGCAGCAGTATGGACTGCTCGATTTTGGCAAAAGTTTTACGACCGGCTGCCTGCCTGACATAAATCCTCTTTGGGAATAGGTGGAGCATTCAATTTCAACATACTTCACAATACAATAGCATTTTTGGAATCGTCTCAAACGATGACATAGACATAGCTTGACGTCATCACGTCGCGAAAATGAATCTCAAATTTCTGAGTTTAAAATTTTTCTAAATTAAAATCGATTAAAAATAAACATACGCCTACACATACATACATACTCGTACATACGCCTTATTATCACAATTTTATAAATTCAAAAGTTTATCTGCGTGTATGTATGTTTGTAACTCCTTCACGCAGACGGCTGAACGGATTTCGATAAAATGTAGTACACAGACACACTATAACTTGGAGTAACATATAGGCTACTGTTAGACATTTATGGACGCACTCGAGCAAAATGAGTGCTGCTAGTATTACATTAATAATTAAATTATCCTAAATAGACTGGCTACGTTGCCTGGCCAGCCTTTTCCATACTTTCCTTTTTGGCAGCGATAGCATGACATTTTTAATTCTTGTATATGTACTCATATACGTTTTATGAAACTATAATATTTAGATCAAAAATGCTTATAATTCATATTTCAAAGTAAAATTATCTTATTTAAACAATAATAGACGTTTGTAAAGTTGTTTGAATGTTTGTCACTCAATTAGGTACATGAAAACTAATAAACAAATTCAGATAAAACTTGGCACACAGATAGATATTAGATAAAGTCCTGGACTAACACATAAACTTCTCTTTATTCCAATAACTTGAACAATTATTATTTGTAAGACTATCAATATGAAAAAACATACTTTTATGCAAGTGGAATCGCGGGTGAAGATTAGTTATATTAATAAGTTGTTTCTTTACATAGAAAGAAAAATAATCCCAACACAAAAGTTGTTACGATGCGATTGAAAGTGTACTCTTGCATAATGCGATCCCGGTATTGAAATACGCTGTAATATAAACTGATGATGTTTTCTATGAAATATTGCATTATGGCTTATAAAAAACATTTAATATAGCGTGTCTATTTTAGATTGAATAATGTTATAACTGAGCAAAGAATTGATTATTACGTCAAATATCGCAGGTTTCATTCCCGATGTATAAAAATATTGTTTATTTTAAGAAAGCTAGTGGCTTAATCATATAATATTATCTACAGGCAACGGCATCTTTTGCAGAATTGTACCGTCCGTCCAACCGTTTCACCGTAAAAGAGTAAGAAACATACAAACTTTCGCACTTATTATATACCAATATTCGATTTACTCTGCTTTTTTCAAAAGTTTTAGACTCATTTAATAATTTAACTAAAAATTAAAAATAATCCAGAGTAACATAAAAATATTTAGAAAAAACTAAATAAAACCTCTATTCACAAGCAAACATACTAACTCAAACTAGTCGTAAATAATTACGCAACTCAATAGAATAATTATTTTTAAAATATTCTCTGTGTTTTCAAAACATCACGCAGTTGTGAATAGCAGCTTTATAATAGAAATTCCTTTCTCATTGAGGAGCTGTCACTTGTATGGAGGCATCGAAATGGGTGGTCTAGTGGAAAAAATTATATTTTTAGTAATGAATATAAGTTTTTGCCTTACAAGCTACAACGAGCAATACCGAGGTAAGATTTTATAGATAAAAATCATAATATTTTCTAAGTTTTACGCGAATATTTGACATTTGAAATAAAACTATCTTTACGTACTTTTTCGCGGATTTATTTTGATTTTATTCTTCTGACGTTTTGAAGGCTTTACCCTTCGATCAAAGGTTTTACAGCGATCGTGGTCACGGGGAAGACTAAGATTTTAGACGTTTTAAAAATTATTATATAGTAAAAAGATAGTTTTATTTAAGAGTTATGCGATTTTTGACCGACATTAAAAAAAATGGTGAGTTTCTCTTGTATATATTGCACGATAGTATCTCAGATTGTGAAATGATTTCTTGATTCTCTTCGAGGGTGATATCATATATTTATACGACAATTTTATCGAAAATGAGATTATACGTTTAACTAAATAAATAACTAACTAAATAAATTAAGAAATAATCGTGACCACTTATTACAATACTTGTTGTTCTTGTATATTATTGTTATATGTATATAAAAAACTTAAAAATAAATGGCCGGAATAGGAAATTCAAGGAACAAATGAAAGTGCATTTTTCGCTAGCCTTTTTTATGAGCTGAGCATAGATCTGAAATTATTGAAATATGGATGTCTGGAGAAGGACGCCTGTCTAATAAGATAGTATTTTATAAAAAAATATTTCAGTTCCACACAAAGCTACAGATGTATGGGAAACTTACATTTTAAATAATAAAGAATATGTCATACAGAATTTACCTGTGAATTGGGAAAATGCCAAAATACTGTGCAGGTAAGTGTAGTATAACGTAAGTGTTAAAATAATAATAAATATTTAACTCGTGACTGCCTCGGTGGTTTAGTGGCTAGGATGTACAGCTGCAAATCCAGAGGTCCTGGGTCCGAGTCCCGGGTCGGGCCAAGTTCAGTTATTGAGTCTTTTTGTTAAGAAAGTCCCAGTAGAGACCCGATATTACCATGCAGAGGCAAAGCACGTAAAGCCTGGGTCCTGCGCCTGATCTCTCACCAGTCGTGTCGATATGTTGACGATCGATTATTTATTATCGTCCCATCGGAATTTGACAGTTAGAGAAATATACATTGCACGTTGTGTCTGCACGACGCACATATACTATATTATCTTAGTGAAATTGACAGACGCGGCCGCGCTGAAATCGGTCGGGTCACTTTTTAACTAAATAAATACTACTTATCGATCTCAAAATTACTTACAAAGTTATTATTTCGGCCCCGAGAAATAGAATTTTCCAGAAACTACAAAAGTTTTAAATAATAACTAAAAATTACTAAAGTAATCAAATCGGTATACAAGTCAACATTTTATAATGTCTCATATACACTCAAAAACATACACAAAAATTAAAAACCTCCTTTTTTTACAAGTCCCACCTATCAATTATAAGGTCTATTAGAGGGTCTAGAATCCTCTTTTCCCTTAAGCTGACAATTTGGAATTACACGTATTTATACGACAAAACAAAAAATATATTTCAAACTATTCGGTCAATAATTAAAAAAAATTGAATCTCGACAATACCGCCCCTCTATCATACTTGGACCTAAGAACCATCATAGTACATGAAGAAAAACATCAAAATCTGTTAATCCGTTATGAAAGACAAAAATTACGAACACAGCCTACCGGGATTTTATATCTTTCTATACCTATATATATAAAAATCAATTGCCGTTCGTTAGTCTCGCCTAGTATAGTATTATATGATCTGTGGTCTCGCTAAAACTCAAAAAGGCTGGAACGATTTGAATAATTCTTTTTTATAAAAATAGTTATTGTGAGTGCGGATTTTTCTTTAGGCCTTTTTAGATCTACAATAAAAACAAGAATTTCAATAACACTTATTTTGGAGTTTATATTCTGTATACAATATACGTTACAGTTATTGTTTTAAAAAAATATTTAATGTACAGATTTCGCTTTGTTTGTATTTTATTATATGTATAGATAACGTGACCTTATTGCTCTCACGCTGGCAGCGGGAGGTGAATAGTACTCTTCAATGGCTGCTAATAAAATCTCCACAAGCTTGGATCAGTTTTTTTTTCTAATATTATTTTAATATTTTTATATCATCATCATCATCATATGGTGTCATCTTATTATATTGCAGAGGTCATCACAAGGGCAGCCTTGCCATTCTAGACACAAGAGAGAAAGCTGAATTTATGGCTGAAGCGTTATCGGAATTACAATTCTGTAAGTTATCGAATTACTATATAAATAAGAAAGTTTTAGTGTGTGAGTGTGTGCGTGCGTGCGTGCGTGCGTGCGTGCGTGCGTGCGTACGTGCGTGCATGTGTGTGTGTGAGTTTTTTACTCCTTCACGTTGAAATGCCTGAATAAAGGATGAAATTTAGTTTACAGATAAACTATGTCCGTAGTAACGCCTAGAGGCGTACGAAAGTGATGCGGTGATAGTCGCCAGCAATTTTTAACTATTATTTTGCGGAATATATTCTTAGATTTACGCGGATATGTGACATTTTAAATAAAACTATCTTATCGGTTTTTTTGCGAATTTACTTACTATAATTTTTGGTGCCCGACGTTTCGAACGCTGTACTGCAATCATGGTCTGAGAGAGACTAAGGTTTCAGACGTCTCAAAGGTAGTCATTATACTATAGTTATTACAGACAGTGCTTACCCACAAAATTAAACAATTATATTGTTTTAGCGATTGAGTCAGTTTGGGTGGGAGCCAGAAGAGATTCGAGTGATGATCCTGAGGGGTATAGATGGGGTCAGAGTCGAGAACTTAAAAGAACATCTGCTGATGTGCTGTCTAATGAGGATGATGAAAATAAGCATTACCCATTGGTAAGTCATTTTATTTTAGTTCCGCTAAGTTTCTTTTGCCAGATCTTGTCTAGACAAAGGTTTTTTTCTTTCTTAGCTTTAGACTTGTGACGTTCAGTGAACAATTGGAATAATTTAATGCTGATTAAAAAAAAAATGATTTTTGTAATATGGCAGTATTTTTATACTGGTATTATTTAGTATGTTACTAAAGTATTTAGTATTTTTGTTACTCTTTCTATTTAGTATCTTGGCTTAAACGGCTGGACGTATTTGGATGAAATTTAGCACACAAATAGACTTGGAGCTGGAGTAACAATTAGGCTGCTGTTTGTAATAAAATTTGCCAATGAATTAATAGCAAAAGATTTACTTATTTTATAAAAAACATTTATTAAGTATTTATTCTACACAAGTAATTTTCGCGACACACTTTTATAATAAATTGTTTTATGTAATAAATGGTTGGGTTTGATTTAATTTAACGTCTATTTTATTCTTTTTAGAGTATTTAAATAAAAACTTGTTTGTAAAAATGTTTTTCTTACTATTTATTCTTTTTTTTTAGTTATTTATTAATATTCTTCTCAGCAAATCCTTTCATTTGACATTCATATCATGGGGGGCAGAAAAAAAATAGTCCGCCATATTTGAGAGTCCACCATATTGTATTTAGAATGAAGTCACTTATCTAACTTCTGAAACTGAATTTCAGCTCAATCGGTTAAGGATAACTGGTTTAAAATTCAGTTGCAAGATTTGTCCAACACATACTAACAAGACAAGTTAAATAAAAGCTTGTGAAAAGGTTTAATTAAAAAAAATATTAATTAAAAACCGAATACCCCTAATCTAGTTCGCATTATACTGAACTTTAATTCTTACAGTGGCTAAATCGAACCCACATACCTGTACCAGAAGGCGGAGCAGACTGTGTAGCACTTGAAAGGGTGCGGCACGATAAGCCTGTATTCTTAGATCTCCCTTGCCATTTGGAGAGACCCTTTGTGTGTGAAAGAGGTACGTTACTTTTTAACTAAAAAGGTACACTGATGGAGGAAAACTAAAATTAGGTAAGTAATTGTCTTATTATTATTTTTTAGTGGTGGAAAATGTTTCGTTATTGGTTAGTTTTATAAAAGATAAAGACTGCCTAAAATGCCAGTTCTACGCCACCGCTGTCGACTCCTTTGTGTGTGTGAATTTAGTCGTGGTTTTATTTTATATTAACGACTCACTTGCGCTTCGCTCAAGTTCGTCCCTAGGCGATTCTTTAAATTGACATAACTTTTTTATTTATGATCCAAATAAAATAAAACAAATGCTAAGTTACGTTTACCACAACATATTAGTTAAAAACGCACGTAGCACACCTAAATCAGATAAGCCTTTACTGAGATTAATGCGCACAAACGCACAGACAAACAAATAAAAGTCTACAAATCATTATTTCGGGTTTTATTGTGTTAAGAAAGACCCCCGATATCTAATATTTTTTCTTAAATATCTTCCACTAGCAAAACACGAGGCTTCGCTCGCTCTAAAACTATAAAATCTCTAAAAAGGTAGTTTCTTACAAACATTCATCCCCTATTTTACCCCCTTATAGTATAAATTTCGAAAAATTCTAAAACATGTAATTTTTTTGAAGAGCAGTAATACCAAGTTTCAAGTAAATTGGATCATATTTTTTTTAGATTGTATTATAATGTGTTTTCCCGTGAGAATTCGATAATATCCCGCTGTAAAAAGTAGCCTATGTCACTCTCCAGCCCTCCAACTATCTCCACACAAAAAATCACGCCAATCCGGCACTCCATTTCGACGTGAAAGAAAGACAATCAAACAAACACACACTTTCACATTTACAATATTAAAGTATGGAAGTATGGATGTACAGGCAGCAATCAGTTACAATTCTATTATATGTATAGATTTTGGTTCCCGACGATTCGAATGGTATGTCTCTCCCGTTACAAAAATCCGAAATGTAGTTTCATTTTAAGAATAATTGTTAAGGGTTATTTCCAGTGACTTTCAACGACTCAAAGTTTTGTTAATTGAGACTAAGTTAAATTACTTGTATGCTAATGCCGTCATAGATATGCAGCCCTCGACCATAGCCTAGGACTTCTTAGGAATTAAATATTGTATTAGGTTAACCAGAATCAAAAAAGAGGTTCGTACTTCGTCTATATTTCTGTGTTTATATGTCACTTCATTGTCTAAAAACATCAAATTATTATTTCCTTTTAATGGTTAGGCAAATAAGTTTGCACACAGTGTAGTGTTTTATAGGATACTTTAAAAAAAATACGGATAAACGATACTTTAAGAAAAACACATTTAAAAAAAATCTGTTTATTTGTTCCGGCTAATCTCCGAAATGGCTGGACTTATTTTAACGGAACTTTCACTAGCAGATATCTAATTTTATAAGGTGTAACATAAGGCGAATTTTATTTTAGAAAAAAAATTTGGGTTCCATGCAAAAAAATAGAAGCCAGAGCTAAGCGAGTGTAAGTCGCTAGTTTAAAATAAAATGAATGTCACTATTTTAATAGCATTCTTGCTTTACTCCTATCGAGCCGAGCAAGGAAAGAATGCTTTACAAAGTTGTATATTCTATATAAATAAAAATGGTTGTTTGTATATTTCATCCCTCAGTTACATTTATAGGACCATCCCTATATTTTCAACCGACTTCAAAAAGGAGGAGGTTCTCAATTCGACTGTATGTTTTTTTTTATGTTTGTTACCTCAGAACTCCGTTATTTATTAACCAATTTGGACAATTTTTGTTTTGTTTGAAAGGGTATACTTCCAGATTGGTCCCATTTAAATTTCAAAAAAAAATAGCACCCCTAAGGGTGGAAAAACAACTAATGATGAATTTAACCTACTTCTAATTGTCATATTGACTTGAAACTTTGCAAGTGTTTCTATTTCCGTTGATAGTACAGTCCAGAAGGTGGATAGATCTACACTAAAAAGGGAAAAATAAAAACTTTTTACAAAAAAATAAAAACCGGCTTCAAACAAAAGCACTAAACACTAAGTAATTAACCTATTAAATACATAAAATCGGTGCCAGCCATACAAAGCAAAGCACACCGACTTCGAAACTATTTGATTAGGTATGTATAGTAAATGAAAACTACCAATCAGTTATTTTTTACTTTTTAGTGCTTTTGTTTGAAGTTGGTTTTTATTTTTTTGTTAAAAAGTTTTTATATCATGTAATTCTAGTATAGAATAGTCATGTGGTTCACATAAAACACCTTACTCTATATTACCAATAACCTCCGAGTAAAATGACTGTGGTAGCCCAGTGGTAACGCACTCACTTGGGAAAGCGAGTGAAACGGGAAAAAATCCACTGTTATTTTACCAATAAAAAATGCTACATTTTTAAAGTTAATTTTTGTTTACAAATTAATCTTATATTTCCTGGAAGACGCAAGTGTTGAAGCGCAAGTCTTACAGCTAAAGACAGTGAGGTGTCGTAGCGGTCTCTACCACGTGTATGATGGCAGGCTCGATTGGACTCAAGCCGCAGCTTACTGTGTCTTAAAAAAAATGGCGTAAGTAGTGATTAAATAAGGATTTATATGTAGCCCAAGGCATAGTCTAGATGTATACTAAAATTCATCTAAATTAGTCGTTTCTGCGTGAAGGAGTAACAAACATAATAATGTACAAAACCTTTTACATTTATATTTAACTAGCAGAAGCCGCGGCTTCGCTCGCGCTTAAACGAAAAAAAAAGCTCTAAATTCTAAAAAGGTAGGTTTAACGATTTGGATGAAATAAATAGCAAATTTTATATCTAGATAAGATTTTGCTTTTTGAGTATCCCGAAAGAACTTTTTTTACATAATATTTGATTGTCAACAGGCTTGCAAATATAGGTACTATGAGGTGTTTAAAGAAACTTGGCCTCACGATGTTGAAATCTAGACCGAGTAAGTATATATTGAGAATGGAGAAGACTCATAAGTTTTCTCTATTAATAAAATTTCGATATTTAAGCTAAATATAAAAAATGGTATAATTTTTTAAGATATCTTAAAAAATAGTTGCTCGGCCCACATGACGTCATTGCACTCGCATCCATTGTCACTGGGTGTTTTCACTAAATAATCATCAAAATATATCAGATATGTACAGTTATTGGGTTTTCTGTTAAAGAGTGCATGTTGTGTCTGTGCGTATACTTCTAAACTACAATATCTCCTGCGCATCTGGCTAGTCTCAGTGAGATTGACCGCCGTGACCGAACTTGGTCGGGAGATAATTATATTTTTATACACTTACATATACTCGTATAAAAGATAACGCAAAGTTAGATAATAAATAGTACCTTTATAATATACTAGCAGAACCCGCGGCTTCGCTCGCGCTACAACTAATAAACTACAAATAAAATCTTTAAAAAGGTAGGTTTCATGCAAACTTTCATCCCCTATTTTACCCTCTTAGGGGTTGAATTTTGGAAAACGCTGAAATACGTAAGTCATTATTTTTGCCGTACCTATTCATTTAATTATATTTTATATATTCATTTCATAGAATTATGAAAAATCCTTCCTTAGTGGATGCTTACGTCAAAAGAGAAATACGTGTGCGAAATTTAAATTTTCTAGCCTTATGGATTTGGCTTGTGCGTTGATACATCAGTCAATCACTTTTGCCTTTTATATAGATATGTATAGAATAACTATTAATCTTACAAATTAAAAAAGGTATAGAAAGTGCATGGATAGGAGCCAGAGGTTCATTGGGTCAGTGGGCGTGGGTCGACACAGGGGTCAGCATATTCAAACCCGGCCCTCTTATTGACACTTCTATATGGCCACCGATGAGGTAAGATAATTATTTTGTATGAGTTCTACATATAGCATTTCATTTTGACTTGTATGCACTAGCACCGAGATGTCGTTCTAGTAATTTTTAGGACTCCATTTTATTATTTATTCATTTAGTTTCTTTAGAGGTAATATTATTATTCTGGTTTATAAAAATTAGACAGGTATAAAATCTATTGGTCATTTTTCTAATGATTGTTTGGCTTTTTGTTTAGTTCTATGACACTCTGTCTTGTGTTATTCCTTAGTCTGAGTTTTACCCTTAAGCGAAATGAGGATAAGTCCCTAGCAGCTAATAAAAGCGTTTAAAAAAATATATACTGACAATATTTTAATTCCAATCCATTTTTGATGAAAACAATTACATACCTAGTAAATAAAATAACAAATATTAATTATTTTTCTAAGGTATATAATATGTACATTGTATTAGGGACAGAACAGCGATCAAACAAAATGGCTGCCTACAAATAGACAGACACACAGCTCGATCTCCTGTTTTTATGGAAGCCAGGTGTGAGAGGAAAATGCAGTTCATATGTTATGAAGGTATTTATTGACACTATTAATTTTGTTATCCCCTCGGATTTTGTCGAGATTTTATTTCGATGTTTGCTTCCCAACGTTTCGATTGCTTTACAAAAAATATAGTTGCGTGACATAAAAACTTTATAAAGCAAAATATAAAACGTCGAAAACAAAATCTAAATATTATGTAGTTTTATTTAAAATGTCAAATATGCGCGTAAATCTAAGAAAGTATTATAAAATAATCTAACTTCTCTCGAAAGTGTTTTATATTATACTCGTACTGTATCAATTCCTATTTTAGGCTTGCCGTCGCTCCACACAGTAGCGCCACCTAGCGACGACAATTACTACTACATTTTAGTAAAACAACGCTTTTATTGGCAACATGCGTTTGAAAATTGCCAACTAATGAACGGTTCGTTGGCAAGTGTTGAAAATAGTGATATCTTGGTGCAACTGCTACTTCTTATGGGGGAGAATAAAGATGAACGTAAGTTTTGTTGAGTTTTAAATACAGCGCCATCTAGTATTGAGTGGCAGAATTAACTTAATGTAGAATGTACATATTTTGTGAAATGTGGACTAAATTACAGGTTTTAAAGCCTTAGGTATGATTTTAATATATTAATAATCGAATATTTATGTGTTTATTTTATTGGTAATAATAATAATAATAGTAATAATATTTTATTGGAAGTCCATTGACGCACTCGCTTGTGCAACCGAGTGAAGCGGGTTCAAATCGCAAGACCTTTAATATTTTTATGTGTAAAATATTTCCAACTTGATTACCACTTGTCTTACGGAGAAGGAACGTCGTGAGGAAACCTGCATGTCTGAGAGAACCTAGCAAGAAGCAAGGTTTCGAAAGACATATGAAGTCCACGAACCTATGGCCTGATCCCCTCGTAGACTCGTGCTCAGCAGTAGGACGTCAAAAAAAGCTAAATACATAAAGGTAAAATTATTATTTCAGCGGTAGACCACATTTGGATATCAGGCCGTTTGAACATGACAAAAGATATAACTAATGATGCAGTCTCATATTCTTGGTACAATCCCGTTACCGGGAAGAGAATCCCGGATCCCAAGAGTGGAGATGCTTCCATTGGACTATACGTGAGTTTATTTACGATAGTGGAATGTCAATAAATGACGTTAAATATTGATTTGTCACTCATATTTGTGTAAAATTAATAAAAGAAAAACAAATAAATCTAAAAAATAGTTCAAAAGGAAACAGGAACACAGGGACAGACATACATACCTACATAAATACATGTCAAACACAAACTATTTTGGGTGTCGCCGCAATCGGTTAAAAAGGTATATTCTGGTTTTTAAACATACTCATAAGAAAAGAAAATTTAAATAATGCATTATTACAGATTATGGCAAAATCAGCCATTAGTCTACGTATTAGTATATGTGTTCATAGGTATTTCCATAATTTATATTTATTAATGTATATGGATTTATAAATCAACATTCAACACCATCTATCAAATATCAAAACTTATTTAACTTTCATTCCGAGATTTACCTCTTTTACCGACTTTAAAAAAGAAGTAAACTTTATTTTTAGGGTTCCGTACCCGAAAGGTGCCAACGGAACCCCATTACTAAACTTTCGCTGTCCGTCCGTACGTCAGAGGGCTGTATCTCAATAACCGTAATAGGTACAGAGTTGAAATTTTCACAGAGTATGTATTTTTATTGCAAACATATTACATACCACTCCTTTCTTAACATACTATTTTAGTTAATTCAACTAATTATCTTAAAACTTATGTAGATGCCACCGTGGTTGGACGAGGAGTTCACTGTGGATAGTTCTTGCTTGAACTTAGATCGACAGGATCATCTCATAGGGCTTGTGTATGGCCTCCCTTGTGACACTCCTCAGTACTCAGTTTGTATGATTGGTGAGATTTTTTATTATTATAATCTTTATTTACAATCTTATAAAACATGGATATACAAGTGATTTATAACTTAAATCTATACTAATATTATAAAGAAAGTTTGCGAGTTTGTGAGTTTGTGACGTTGTAGGGAGTAATCTCTTAATCTACTAAACCGATTTAGATGAAATTTGGTAAGAAGATAGTTTGAGACCCTGGAAGGGACATAGGATACTTGACATTTAATGAAACATTGTTAATCTATCTTCTATGTAAGTAATACTCCACCTATCTATCCGCGTAGTTTTATTTATATACCAGCGACTCACCTTTACTCCGCTCGGGTCGCCCCTAGGGTGGACCACCCTTATCACTTATTATTAATTGTAAGTTATGTATTACTCTGATGTATAAGCTATTATATTATTTTGGAAACTAGCGGCTCACCCTCGCTTCGGTCGGATTCGCCTCTAGAAAAGCACAAATAGATCTATCCCACGGGAACCATTCAGTTTTCCGGGATAAAAAGTAATCTGTTGTTTGACCGGCAACATAAAGTATAAGCATGCCAAATTTTTCTAAATTAGGTGCATAAGTTGTGTAATAAGCTGTATAAGTTACTATACTTTTTAAACTATCCCCCAGGAACTCGGGATATATTTTTCGGGATGAAAAGTATTTAAAATGTTGACCAGGCATATAAGGTACCACCATGCAAAATTTCATTTAAATCAGTCCAATAGTTTTGGAGATTAGCCCGTACAAACAGCCAAACAGAAAAACAAAAAAATTGAAATAAATCTGGATTTGTTCTATTTTTCTTCATGTCTTGTCTTTGACATATATATTTTTTTCAATTTTAATTTCCTACTTATTATCTCATTTTCAGAAAAATCTCGAATACCCACAACAAGTGAGAATCAAACAGATGGTTATGAAACATCATAAAACAGTTAATTTGAGTTAAATGTAAAAGTATATAACATAATATAGTTTGCTTTTATATTTTTTATTATTAAGTTATTAAATACAATATAAATAAATATTATAGTGTTTTTGTGGTAATCCCCTGCTATCAGTCGCTAAACTATTCCCTTCACGACCGCGGACACGCCGGCGTGTCGGTTAACAATAGGTTTCTTAGAAATTTTAACTGGGTTGGTATAAGGTAGGTTGAGCAGTAAGTAATAACTGATAAAGCAGCAAGGCCAGTGCCTCGCTGTCTACTTAAAGCACGTGGTTTCTTCTCAGCAGCTTAACCACGTTGGCATTGTTGAGTAATCGGGAAGCAAGTGGATTGTGGTTATGGGCAAGACGTTCCCTGTGCAGTTTTTTTATAGCGTTCTATTTCTGAGGCTACTGTTGTAATATTCAGTTACTCGTGTATCTCGTCGTTCCTCGTGAACCAGGGGGCACTTTCGATACTCCTCAATATGTTGTTTTGTACTCTCTGACATGGCACATGACATTATTCTTGCTGGCCGTTCCCCACAGCTGAATGCCATTGGCCAAACGGGTTTTAGAATGGAGTTGTAAATTAGTAATTTGTTGTCCAAGGAGAGCATGGAGTTTCTGCCCATCATCCAGTATAGACTTCTGAATTTATGGTTGATTTGATCTCTTTTTACTTTTATGTGGGTTTTCCATGTTAGGCATCTATCTAAGTGAAAGCCAAGATACTTTACGCAGTTGGTTTGAGGCAAGATGTTATTCATTAAGTGAATCCGGTGACAGTTTTCTTTTCTAAGTGTAAATGTTATATAACTGGATTTCTGAGCACTGGCTCTAATTCGCCATTTTTTGAGCCAAGCTGATGTGTCTTCGAGAAGTCGTTGTAATTTTCTACTTGCTGACGTGGGATCTTCATCTACAGCTAGAAAAGCGATATCATTTTCATATGTGGCAACCGTAAAATCATCTGAGATTGGGAGATCAGATGTGTAGATGATGTATAGAACTGGTCCTAGCACCGAGCTTTGAGGTACACCAGCTTCGACTGGAAACAGAGAGGATGTGGCCTCACCCACTCTGACTTGAAACAATCTATCAGCAAGATAGGACTCCAAGATGTGGAACACTGTGGTAATCTCTCCTTAATTTTACAAAGCAATCCTTTGTGCCAGACCCAATCGAAGGCCTGTTGTACATCCAAGAATGCGGCATAGCAGTATTTTTTAGTCTCGAAACATTGTCTGATAGTTATTTATTGTCTGTATACCATATACACGATGAACTTGTTGGGTGGTCAAGTATGCCTTGCGGAAGCCAAATTGGTGGTTAGGGACAATTTCTTGATTGTTCACTAGCTCCCTGAGTCTTTTGAGAAAGATTCAAAGCAGGTCCTTTGGGGCTTCAAGTATCAGTTTTTTATCAGTGAAGTACCATGAGTAAATAAAAACAAATAGTGAAGTGTGAATAATCAAAGTGATAAAGCGACTGAATATAAATTGAATACAAAGTATGAAAAGTATACTAAATAAAACATTTTGTAACAGTTATCTTTATAAATTTATTTCTAGAATTGATAAACAACCTTGTATCATATAGGCCTACTTATTAAAATTAATTTCACTATATAGCATATGGCACAGTTCTTATGTCATTGATATTATTAACTATGTCAATCCATAGTAGGTTAACTTTTATTAGTTGTTCACTATTTGCATTCACCTCCCTTAAACATTTTTTGAAAATTCGGAGGTTTTCTAAATATTCCTTCAGACTCTTTACCAATCTTCTTGCAGCTTCTAGCTCTTGCGCAAGTTCAATTGAAGGAATCTTAAAAAGTGAAAATATTATTATTTTTCTTAAAAAATATTACTATATTTTTATAATTCTATTGCTAAATAGTATACTGACATTATCATGGCATTTAAAAAATAGTACACAATAAATATGGAAAGAAAATTTAGATATTTAAGTCGTACCTCTCGTTTTGTTTGTTTGTTTCCATTAGACATGTTTTCAAATTATTTTCACAGTTCACTTATCTTTAGAGTAGAAATTTTCCACAAATTTTATATGGGATTATACGAGTTTAAATTCTTAACAGTATCAAGTATCAAGCCGTTCCTATTATCCTTATTCAATTAATTATTTAATTGTGTACGAAGTTTTTTGTTTTCTAATTTAAAATAAACTCAAAACTGGCAACTGCAACTTTAAAAAATTAAATATATTTTTTTTATGAAGAATAAAGACGTTGGACATAGACTCTAATTCCCAGTATATATCTATACTCTTTGCTCTAATTACTTTTGATTTTGTCATCCGTGGTTTTGATTCTAGTCAATGCTGCCATATTAAAGGTATAATTTTATTTGTAATTATTATTTATAATGGATAAAATTATTATCTAGATTATATCATTGTAAGTATTTAAAACAATATGTAAACCTAATTTATATATACATAATCCAATATATTTTATAACATGTATAACATAAAGAGCTCGAACGCAATACTTGTTTTAAAATATTATAAATATATATAAATTTATTAAATATTTTACTAAACAATCACGTATGTGTCAAAATATAAAATATTTACAATCAACATCTAATACATAAAATGAAACTAATAATCGATATTGACTTTCGAAGCAACATTAAAACGCATGCGCAATTCCGCAACGCCATCTGAAGAAAAAAATCTTCACTAGCAAAAGAAACGCCGCCATTTTGACATTTGTTTGGCTTTGTGTTTTTCAATTTATGAATTACCAATTAATTACGTGTTTGGAGCATCGCGCTCTAATATTTTTGCGAAAAACTCTTTTAATAAAATATCCAATTATTCAATGTATATGTATCAGTGAAAGTTGTTTCCGGTTATTGACGCATAAATCAATAATGTGCTTGCTAGCGCCGCTTTTTTCTTTTTCGCAATAGTTATTTTATAATTATTTCTATAGTGCAGTGCACATATTAAAAATAAATTATTAATAATTAAGTTTAAGTGCTTCTATGAATATTCATTAACTAGTTTAAAAATAAAAACTTTAAAATTGCTGAAAAAAAGGCGCGAAGTGATTTGCCGCGCCGATTTTTTTAACATTGAGAATATCCGTTTACACATAGAATATCATATACGCAATTAAAATAATAATCCGTGTTTTAATATTAAATATACTGCAATGCATACATATAGACTCTTACATCATTTAAATGTCTGGAGCAAAACTTAACTTTCTAATGCTATAGAGTTCATGTAAGTATTTGTAACACTTACGTATGAATTGTTATTGGTTTATTATTTTCTATTTATCAACATTATAATAAATTCTATTTTCAAAACAAATACACTTTTCTTAAAATATTTGCATAAATAAATTTATATTAATAGGTATTTATGTTATCGACATATACATTACTAGTTAGTATATAATTACAGTTTAAGTCTCTTCTGATCTTGCGATGCGGTTAAGAAGTAGGAAGAGGGAGCGACCGCTCTCAGCGAAAAGTACTAAAAGAGTGACTAATTTGAAGCCAAAACCACTCGAGAAACCATTACTTAAAGCCAAGTCTACTTGGAAAAAGATTTTGAGTGGAGAAAATGGTCTATCATCTGGGCCAACTCTACATTGTATTACTAGGTCTCAAAAGAATTTAGACCTTAAAACTCGGCCAGTCAGAATTAAAGCAGCCAAAAGTATGGAGAAACCAGTCGAAGTAAAGAAATCTAAGCCAAAAGATGAGGCAAAGAAGCCAATTTTCCAAACAGTTGTGCGGAACACTACTAAGGATATGGTAACTTCAACAACAAAGCCCAAAACTATAAATGATAAAGTACCACCCTCTAAAACCAAACTAAAAGAAGTCCGAACAACAAAAAGTGCCCAATTGAGGCAAAGCTCTCTGAACCGAGAGCTGAGAAAAACTGAATCTATGTCATCAGCTTTGAGCTCTCCGCGCAAAACCCGCAGAATGGATAAACCAGATAAATCAGCATCGTTAAATAGTTCACCAATACGGAAAGTGAGACAGTTAGGTGTTCCAACATTGAAATGCAGCAAAATTGCAGTTAGCTCAACCAATGAGAGTCCTAAGAAGAAAATAAGATCAAAAGCACTAATAGTTCCGGAACAATCATCTTGCTTTTCTGTAGACAATGATATAACTATGTATGAGCCGCATACAACATTTGAGGATTTCCTGACACCTAAAACAGAAGAATCTGATTCTGATGGACAAGTGGAATTATCAGAGCTCTGCCTTCCTAACGACTGTCTCAACGACTTGATGGCTATAGCCGAGTGTGCAAGATTAATTAACAATGAACTGTCAGATGATGAAGACATAAACCTTTTAGCAGATAAGGCAGCAAAAGTGATGACAACAGAAAAAGATGATAAGAAGGTAAAGTCAGATAAGAAGATAAAGAGAAGGAAGTCAAGCAATGATCTAGAAATGTACCAGCCAACTTCGACAACTGATGATTTAGATGCGTGTGAGGGTTTTCTTAATGGAGGAGAAAAATATGTTCAGGTAAATATTGTTATATTAAAACTTATCAAATTTCACTCAACAGACAACTATAAGTAAATAGTGTGGCTCAAAACTTTAACTTTTGGGATGTGCTGTGTGTAATTAATTTATTTCTACCCATGGGGACAAATATTTTCTATAGAGAAACATTATTCAATTCAATTCTCTTGTTAATGGATTCAAAGTGTGCCAGTTGAGCATAGATTACTTCTCCAATGTTACATATAATGGAGAAGACACAAAGGAGATTGGTCGGTAAAATAAGATCATTAAACTACATTCAATTATAATGTGTAAGGAAGAAATTAAATCCTTGCACCAACAAATGAAAGTCAGTATGATATTTTATGAAATGCAATGTTATTTAAAATATGAACAACATTAATTTTTTTAATTACAATAGCTATGAATAAAATAATTGAAGAGGTCATTTTAATTATTAAGAGTATCTCCTAAACAAACATCTAAAGAATATAATGGCCCCGACAAGCATTGTCCTGACGTTGGCTCTTCTTGTTGGTGGCATAATTGTTTTCATTAATAAAACAAATACTATGAGATAAACTTGTAACCTCAGAACTTCGTCATTTATAGTTGGGCCTATTTTAATTTAAACCACCCTTAGGATGGATAAATAGGTAATGAAAATTACACTTTTCTAATTGTCATATTGCCTTAAAACTTTGCAAGTATTTCTATTTCCGTTGATAATGCAGTGGTGCGGTATCGTCGACCTGATCAGACGGTTAGGCCAGAAGGTGGATAGGTGGTACTCTTCAACGGCCAATAGTAGATACTTTGAGTTTGGACTTACTTTGTTTGATTTGACAAGCCTAATATGTTAGAATTTTTAATGTTACTAATAAATGCAAATTTTAGTTTGTCAGTCTTCATGTAAAAATTGTCATCAAACTAACTTAATCTCTTAAGCAAATATTTTATTAAAATACTTTCTTCTTACTTTGCTACTACTATGTCTACAGTAAAAAGGGAAAAATAAAAACTTTTTATTTTATAATAAAAAAAGCAAAACCGGCTTCAAAAAATAACTAATTTTTAATTTTTAGTGTTGTTTTATTAAGTTGGTACTTATTTTTTACTGTAAGGTTTTTTAATATTATGAATGAGAAAGTTTGTTTGTTTGTTCTTCCTTCACGTCGAAACAGAGTGACGGATTGGCGTGATTTTTTGTGTGAAGATAGTTGAAGGGTTGGGAGTGGTTAGGAACATAGGGTACTTTTTACCGCGGCAGATTTATTTCATTCCCACGGAAAAACACGTTATAATACAACCCACAAAAACTCATATCTATGTGTATACTATACACATATAATATATTATCTATCTTTTCCATACTAACTGTTAAAAAGTACCTAACTGACAAACACGAACGAAGCGAGGTTCAATCTGCTTTTCGTGTATATAAAGATAAATAACACATTAATCTATCCATCTCTTTCCTACAGCCCGACTTTGTAACAATGTTAGAGCAAGACAGCTACGTCAGGGACGCAGAATGTGAGATATCATCTACATGTGGGGATACACAGGGGACAGCAATAGAGAGCTTAGAAGCGTTATCCGCCAGGAGCCCTAGCTCAGGGTTCTTGGCAGAGATCAGTCAGAGCTTAGCCGCTGAAGCAGCAGGATGGGTATGTTTGTTCAGAACTATTAGGTTTTAATAAGAAGTTATTTTTTTAAATAGGATTTTTTTTGAAAAGGACTGTATTTGTATGTATTTTTTGTTTGTATGTTATAGTTAGTATATTCGAAAGATAATCTTTGTGAATGGATTTTCTTAAAAAATATATTATGTTGCACCTAGAGGGTGAAATGATAAATTAAAAAAACCGTTTTTTAAAAAAATATATATATTCGAAACTTAATTGGACAACATTTGTTTTAATTGAATTTATTGTTCGCAGAGTGCTTCAGATGCGGTAGTGGATGAGAACTCGTTGAACTGTCACGATGAGACCACACCAGATATTGAGGTAATATTTTTTACTTATAATTCTTATTACACATATTTTAACGTTTTCATTCTTTTGAGCGGAACCCTAATGGTTTTACTAAAATATAAGAAGCCATTTGCTCCTTTTAACATCAGTTATCTGCCAGTGAAAGTCCCGTCAAATACAGTCCAACAGTTTCGCAGATTAGCCAGAAGAAACGCACGAAAAAAAACGTGTATATAATTTCATATGTATTTAATGAAAAGCTTTTATCTCAACATTACAAACAGACTTAAATTTTATTCTATATAAACTAGTGACTTCCGCTCGCTTCGCTCGGGTGCGTTCGTCAGCTTAAATTGTTAGCAACACAAAAGATAAACGTCCAGAGCGAAATTCTCTTTTTTAACCCCAGACGCAAAAACGACGGGGTGTTATAAGTTTGACGTGTCTATGTATGGTATCGTAGCTCCCGATATGAATGAACCGATTTTGATTTTGTTGTTTTTGTTTGAAAGGTGAATCAGTCGGGACTGTTCTTAGCTATGTTTGACGAAAATCGATCCTAGATGGCCGCCGCCACAAAATGGCTGATTACATATTTTTTCACAACTCTGTCATGCGTATCAGATGAAAAGGGTTATTAGAATACTATATATAATGGTAAATTTCAAATCCAAGATGGCCGCCACTACAAAATGGCGAATTTCATGTCGGGTTTTTTTTTTCATTTTTATTTAAATTATAGACTTTTGTGCCAGGAGCTTTCACAGGTATATACGATAAGAACAATAAAATAACCCACCAGAGTTTCATCACAATCGGATCAATGGTTTAGTAACACATAGAGGACAAAACGAACATTCATTTTTAGGGTTCCGTAGTCAACAAGGAGCTCTTATAGTTTCACCATGTCGTCCGTCTTTCTGTAGCTTATCTCAGACACTACAGACAAAGTGGTAAAAGAAAGTCTTAAAAAGAATTTTTTTATGATACCTCTTCTACATGTTTTTTCTTCTCGTCTACCCCATGTTACCCCATTTTTTTATATTTTTGAAAGACCTATCCAACGACTTGTGGTATGTCGTTGGATAGGTTTTTCAAAAATATTAAAAGAATTGGTTTGTGAAAACAATTTTTCGATTAAGGATCCATTTGTGAAATATTAAGCTTTAATAGCACTAATTTATGTTAAAGACAAGCCCCAAAACCATATATATATAACGAAATTGAAAGGAAAACTATCACAGCCAAGTAAGTTTTACAAGTTTACGATGTAATATGTGATGATGTAATAATCGACCAACTTATAAAATGTACTTGGAGAAAGTGAAAATTTGGTACAAACTCCATGATGAAAATAACTTATATAACGTTGTTAGTTGTGTTAAACAGGTAGTAAATAAGTCCAAAAATATGCGAATATTCGTTACATCACTATTATATAGATTAGTGCTATAAATGACTTAATATAAAAATGGTCGAGTGTGAATCGGATTCGATATTTTTAACATATTTTTACGATATTTCTAACTATTGTGTTCGCAGCACTGATATATTATATACATACACATTTCCCAACAAATATCTCTTCAGAGAGTGGCGTCGACATGTGACGTTAAGTCAAACTAAAGGATAAAATTCAAAAATTGAAAGCTCTAAATGTTCCAACACAAATACGAACTTACGCACAACACATGAAGTACTTTTTTAAACGAAACAACGTGCGTTTTAATTTTGTCACCCGAAAAGCAATGTACAAAAGGGATTTGAATAAAGCGCATAATTTCAAATTGTGCGCTTCTTTTTGAGGACACTGTTGATACGCTAATTTTGTATTCTGAGTTTTTGTATTTCAATGGTTCTTAGTTTAATTTCTCTAAAATCTATTGAATAGAAAAAGTTAGTGACAAATATGTTGTATAGAATTAAGTTTATTTTACTCCCATATACCCACAAAAGTTAGTTGAATTCACCTCATCAATGGTGTCATATGTTTTCTAAAATACGCGGTTTCAATGATTGAACTGCTTTTTATTTATATTCGGATACAATATTCTTTTAATTCACCGAAATTAAATTTGTTTTCTTCCATAATCCTTGTTTATTTGCTCACTACTCTGCCGCCATAAGAAAGAAGGCCTTAACTAACAATTTAGTAAAAAATGACTTATATACAAATTCGGAAGCAGAAAATAAAGTGCTACTTAATAGTCTTACTCATAAACCTCTATGTCTTATGAATCCGGAGATACCATAAACATTTATGTCGAAACTACGTCAAAACTTGAGGATTTGAAAAGCCTTTAGTTCAAAATTACGGCCTTTTGTTTTGTTTACATCTTGCTAGTCTGTATGGCCGTAATTTCCATTTATGGCCTTTTAGGTCAGCATAACTGTAAGTTAGGTTAGTAGTTAATTATGTATTAATCTATACTATATAATAAAGAGATAGTTTGTGAATTGTGAGTTTGTGACGTTGTGGGGGGTAAACTCTGGATCTACTGAACCGATTTAGATGAAATTTGGTAAGAAGATAGTTTGACACCCTGGGAAGGACATAGGATACTTCTTATCCTGGAAAACATCCAGTAATGGGGATGAAAGTTTGTATGGGGAATCAACCTAGGGACGAACCCGAGCGAAGCGAGAATAAGTCGCTAGTTTATTATATTTTTTATGCTAAATAAAAGGGAAAAATTAAAATGAAATGAATGTACCAATTATTACGAAATATCATTCAAAATAAAGGTTAATTTTTTTACGTATTATAAAACCAATTTCATGAGCTAAATGCGTCTAATAAATCGCCGGCCTTCATTTAAGACAAATCTTCAAATATTTCGTAATCAACTTTGACGCAGTTGCGACCTTTCTTATGACGGCATAACTTGAATTAAGTGCGTCAAAAGTTTCAACAATTTCAACACAATTTTGGCATCGTAATTTCACTGTTTATTTCCATACATATAATGTAATTATTAAAATTGTTATGGTTATTTTATTAAGAGAAATATTCTAAATTAATTATATTTTAATAAATAGTTATTAAAGCCATGATTTTATTTGGTTATATTATAGTTATGACGACACGTTTGGCTCAGTTTGTAGTGACCCTACTTGCTGTGCCAGCGGTCGCGAGTTCGAGTCACGCTGGGAGCATTCATCTGTGTGATGAGCACAAATGCTTACTCCAGTCATGGGTGTTTATATTTATAATATGTATGTGTATAATCCCTCCTCGACCGCGGACACGCCGGCGCGGGCGTGTCAGTTAATAAATAAATAGGTTTCTTAAGATTTAATTAATTTCTTCGAAATTTACCTGTAGGTGTTAAAGTTATATATATGTAGTGTATCAATTATCTGGTATCCATGAGACAAAACCTCGTAGCATATTGTTGATTTCAACTAAGTTTTGTACGGCACTGTACAATGAACATTTTTGACCGACTTTTAAAATTAAGAGGTAATAAATTCGAGCGTATGTATTTTTTGTGTATTTTCTTTTCATTATTATAAAACCTCAAGAATATATTATACATTTTTTTAAATTTCCACCTGTAAGGGTGGAATTTTTGAAATTATATTGTAATCTTTGGATATTTTTAGACAATTGTTATTTTTTAATACAAATTGTGTATATTTAGGAGGAAGCCGCAGCAGTAATCTCTTCTTGCAACACCCGAGTGGACTGCGAGCAAATATCGTCATGGGCGGATGCTTTCGATCCGTATCTATTTATTAAACAGGTATATTTTAGTCATTTTAAATAAAACGTATCATTTGGAATTTTTTCGCGGATTTATTTAGATTTTTGGTTTCCGACGTTTCGAATGCTTTACAGGAATCATGGTCACGGAAGAGACTGGTTTTAGAAAATTGTTTTAACTTATTAGTATACAAGTGTAAACTTTGGAATAAAGTGCTTATTATTATATTATAATTATTTTGCCATTGTTACAGCTACCGCCATTGGAGACAGTCGCGACCGGTGCCTTGAGAGCCAGATATCCCGCACTGCCCTTGAAGACTAGAACCAGTCCGGACTTCAGTTTGGTATGTATTAAATAATGTTATTAAAAATATTTTATTATTTTAAATAAGTTTTTTTTTTGGGTTTTTGCACTCTTATTTTGATTTTATGTTTTCGAAGCTTTGTTATGTCGGACCGTCACAGGGTTTGCAGCGGAAACAGAAACCTAACAGAAGCCTGTGTATGACTTATAGTCTATTATATTTCGAAATGTATCAAATACACAAAACACACACGCTCACACACACTCACGCTCACACACATACACACGCTCGCACACATACACACGCTCGAACACACACGCACACTCTGACCGTTGAGTCACTCAAGTTATACTAAATTAAATTTTACTATACAAATTAAGAAAACTATTGAGAAATAGTATGTGACGAATAAAAAAATCAATAAAAGTACGTAATAACTTCAAATGAAATATACATAAAATAACCATATTTTACAATTTTCGTATCCAATTATACGATCTGGCAGCCATGCTGGGGACCCACCCGATGGACGCAAGGGGTAGTCACTAGGTTATAATTATAGTGATAATTAGCTGTGTTTTTTTTCTCTAGGTGTTGGATCTCGACGAGACGCTGGTACACTGCTCCTTGCAGGAACTCCCAGACGCCAGTTTCCACTTTCCAGTGCTGTTTCAAGATTGTCGGTACACTGTGAGTTGTCATCGTCAAATAAAAATATTTTTATTATCACTAAACATTTCTTTTAATAAATAATACTATGTTCCTTCGTCAGCTTGTTCTCGTCTTTCTAGTTCGCTTTTTACGCAGTTATTTTATTTGTAAATTAATTTTTGTGCCAGCATTTTTTCTGATGACCCTCCACTATATGTAGGAATCTGATATATTTTTGTGTGCCATATTTTCAATTAGTCAAAAGAAACTTCACATAATAAAGCAGTCTAAAAGTTTTTTTTAATAATAATAACGTATATACAGGTGTTCGTACGCACGCGCCCTCACTTCGCAGAGTTCCTCTCGCGTGTGTCGCGTCTGTACGAGGTGATCCTGTTCACGGCGAGCAAGCGCGTGTACGCCGACCGGCTGCTCAACCTGCTCGATCCTTCGCGCCGGTGGATTAAATACCGGTGAGCTGTTACTGTCTATGATGTGATGTGTTATCATGGTATCACTATCACATTTCATACTGGATGTTATTGTCTGTGGTGTTATCATGGTATCACTATCACACTTCACACTAGATGTTACTGTCTGTGATGTGATATGTTATCACAGTATCACTATCACACTTCAGACTGTTTGGTTTGGACCGGCTACTGAACCTCAACAATAAAATAAATAAAATATTATATAGTGTCTAATTATATTTATTCTTCCAGATTGTTCCGCGAGCACTGCCTGCTGGTCAACGGCAATTATGTGAAGGATTTATCTATTTTGGGCAGAGATTTGCGTAAGACGGTCATCGTGGATAACAGCCCACAGGTATATATTTTATTCTGATAAAGAAAATAGTGTTTTCTTGTGTGTTTGTGTGTAAGCGCCATCTGGTGATTGTCTGTAGTCTAATACTTTTTAATGAACTACGTCCGTGACTTATCATATTAAATCAGATTTTGATAAGCACGTTTAAGTCTCAGACTAAAGAATAATATAGACAGACTGCAGAGTGTCATGGAACTAAATATGAAGCCACACAATAATGTTTTAGAATAGTATACAATTTGTATACTGAGTGTTAAGCAAATATCTACATATAAATATAATAAAATTGTAACTGAGTCGAATCTGTACATTGTACAGTGTATATATATATATATATATATACACACACACACAGACACAGAGAGAGAGAGAGACACACGCGCACGCACGCACACACACACACACACACTAGCGACTCACCCGCGCGTCGCGCGTGTTCATGCCTAAACATGTTTTAACGGTTAGTATGGATAATAGATATACTATATGATATTTAGCCTATAGCCTTCCTCAATAAAAGGGCTATGTAATGCAAAAATAATTTTTCAAATCGTATCAGCAGTTCCTGAGATTAGCGCGTTCAAACAAACGAAGTCTGCCTCTTTATAATATTAGTATAGATTTTAAAACATTGTTTGGCTTCATGTTTTATGACACAATACTTAATTCCTTAGTCTGATTAATTAGTATTGGTATGTATATATTAAAAGAATTGTTTTATTTCATAGGCTTTCGGCTATCAACTGGAGAATGGTATACCGATAGATAGTTGGTTCATGGACAGAAGTGACAACGAGCTGCTCAAACTGTTGCCGTTCCTCGAACATTTGGCTACTGTGAGTGGGATTGTATGACATTTCTATGTATTAGGTGTTTCATTTTGTAAGGCAAAAAATAAAATTCAATTTTTTTGCAGACTTTGTTCGCCCTCCGCGTCTCACTGATATAAAAGTTACCTATGACTAATTTCATGAAGATTGGATTAAATTGATCACTTTTGAAAAATTAAAGCAATATGAGGATATTTTCAATTTTAATAATTTTTATTGCGGAAACTGTAATTCACAAACCTAAAATAAAATTGAAATAGAAATTAAAATTAAGTGACATTATAATAGAACACAAAGGTGTTATATTAATAAACTTGGTACGACGCAATTGCTTCTTTGTCACGTTGTGGACCGTTCCTGTGACGTTCGGCGAATCTCAACAAAAACTGTTATTGTTTTCCATCTTTGACTGATTCATTAAACTTTTTAATCAAAACAATTGCTCTTTCTGTTTAGTCTCTAAAAATAAGTCCGAATATATTTCAACATATTTTACTTGATATCTTGTGTAATAAGTTCATCTAAAAATGCCAATCCTACGTTTGTTTCTGGCAAATATCAAAGGTGAAAAATGAAAAGGTACAACTCTTGACAACTGTGACAACATTCTTTTTGTCGTCAGCATCGAGATAAGTGCTCAAAAGCTGTAACATGTCTAGATCATTCTTCGGAGCCCATCGACGGACAGTTGCTTCATCCCAAAAGTGAATATACTATATTAGGCTAACAAAATGTGAAACTCGTTTCATTTCTTTCAATTCTCACTGAGGCATATTTAGCTGTTGGGTGAAAAGGGCATTTTTCAGAGCATATGTTACTTTCGCCATCCACCTCGCTTGATATAACTGAAGTCGCTTTCAATCCAATCTGATATCTATAGGAGTGACAATTGTAATAACTATAAGACTACAAAAGTATCCTCTTGGATGATTTCCATTTTTAGGAAATTTTGGATATATTTAAGCACTGTCGTTGTTCTTCTAGAAAACCATCAACGGGATTCTCTTCATCTGGCATAATTGTATATGACTTTTTATCCATTGAATCCCATAGACTTTGGAACTTCTGGATAATTGGGATTTCAGAATTACTTGGTGCCTGGTGGTGATTTACAACACTTTTTAAATACTCCTTTTAATATTAATTCACGAGTGTGATGGCGATAAGTCAACCACAACAATGTTCGATTAAATTGAAAAGTACATACACTATTATAAAACATTTCAGAATTAAGTACTTCACTAGTGTGTGGTAAAAGTGGCCAACATGTGCAACCCTTAAATATTCTTCAATCTTCATGAAATTTGGCCAGTGAGACTCAGGGGAAAACCAAAGTCATATGAAAATCAAACTTTTGGAAATATGAAACACCCTTAAATTATGTATGTTATAGATTTGTGTATGTGAAAACTTTGACTATGTTTTATGATTTTTCAAATTAAATTCTTTTTTAAATTTAATTTAAGGCAATATTAATAGGCTTCAGATATATATATTGATAAGATAAGATTTTGAATAAAACAATTTATACATATATATTAACAGCAACACTAAATAAATTTCTTTTTTTCAAGTGTAAGAATTATGGATCTTTTAAATATTCTGTAGTAAACTGTAAAACCCTTTTTTGTTAAATATTTAAGCTACTCACTCATTTATTACAACTTAAAGTATTTAGTCTACATATCCATAACAGCGATCACGCTTGACGTTTTGATTTTTTAAATAAGTATAATTTGTAATATTTTTAAATGTTTTAATGTTACAGAAAGACGACGTGCGGCCGTACATACGGGATAAATACAAGCTTTTCAGCTATCTGCCACCGGACTAAGGTTTATCCACGGGAAGTAAATATTAATTATCTGCAGATGTTTTTAAAATTAAAAAAAAACGATACAAAGGTCGTTTTTTTGTTTTTTTTTTATGAGCGAATTTTATTGGCCTAAAATATATTTTTTGTTTTTGATAATTTACAAAAAATGTTATTGTAATTTGTAATTGATTTTTTTTTGTTTTTTCATACTTTTATTAAGTTAACTTTTAAAAACATCTCTAGACGATGTTTTTTTTTCTATTAAATAATTCTAAATTCATATTCTAATTGGTATTAGGGAGAAAATAATTTAAATGAAAATCGGCACTTATAAATATATATTATGGAAAAAGTATTATGTATTTTATGTAGATTGTAAGGAAATTCAATTTTTATATATATATATATATATATATATATATATATATACCATTATTTTTTTGTTAATCTGTGATTATTTGTTTTTTTTAACTACTTAAATTGTAGTGGTACAGTCGTCGTATATATTTGTTTAATTTTTTTAAAATACTTCAGTAATTATTAATTATGTCATAAATCTATAGAATAAACTGATTTTTTCAAGTTAATTATATCATTAAAAATGTTTGATTATTCGTAAGTGACATTTTTATAATAAAAAATATATATTTTATTTAAATACCAATCACGTACGAACAATGTCAATACTCATATTTCTTTTATATATAATAATTTTTTTATTTAATAAAATGGCGACTGTGCTAAGTAATGTTATATGCACAATAACTAAAATAAGCAAAATATTTATAACAACATTTTTGACGTTTTTTTATAAAATCTTTATAAAAAATAACGTCAAAAACTTGACGATAGTTCGACGTCAAAATTTATTTAAATTAATTTGTTTTTTATCTAAATGTAATGTAATGCCCAAAAAGTTTCACTTTAATCGCGGGTAAACGTTACACGCAATTATTATTTTTTTCTATTTAATTTGAGTTTTGTGCATATATCTATAAAAACTATGTTAATAGAAAGTATAATAATTATTATAATCTGAGGGTTTTTTTATTAATTATAGTCTTTTTCTTTTAATTTTAAATCTCTTAACAAAATGTACTCAATGTTACGGAGGTGCTATATTTTTTTTAATTTTAACTTACTTCTGTCTGTGAATTGAATAGCATTTCGCAATTTAAATTAATAAAAAAAAATAGATATGTGTAAATAATGATCGTATTCGTCTGTAATCGATTATTTTGGTAATTTGCACATCCCTATTACATTATATTGATACTATATCTTATAGGAAACACCAAAAATTATTAATTTGAATGGAAAGTCTTTAAATATGTACAAAAAATTAAAAACAGCCAAGTGCGAGTATGTCTCGCTCACCGAGGGTTCCGTAGCGTAAAACAATAAAATCCATATACATATAGTATTATAAATGTGAAAGGTTGTTTGTTTGTCTTCGCTGCTTTCATGTCGAAGGTATTGGCGTGATTTTTTAGGCTACTATTCCATACTAACCTTTAAAATAGTAAGTTTTTTTTGTGATACAATAAATTTACGGTTTTCGGATTTTTTCCTTTACTTGTACGTGTAAGACTGAGCAAAAGGGCTTTGACAGGCAAACACACAGATGGACAATAAAGTGAACCCAAAAGGGTTCCTTTTTCCTTCTTAGTTACGGAACCCTAAAATCAGTACAATTAGACGTTTTTCAAACATATTTAATAATATTTAAATCGAATTAAGAATTTCTCATTTCATTAATAATAATAAAGAAATAGAGGAAAATAATTTTTATTTTTAAAGTAAATTCTGGCACTTTAAGTAAAATTTGCACATAAATAAATATATGCTATTCATTTCATGAACTAAATAATGTATGGTAATATGTTTTTTTTTTATTTTTGTATTAATTTAAAAGCGAAAGTTACATCTGAAAAACTATAATTTGTTTATAACATTATTATACACTATTGCTGTCACTTTTTTGTATTAAAATATTGTATTGTTTTCTCTTTCTAATAATTCTATTTTGAAAAAATGAAAGATAGTAAAATAAAAAATATGATTATGACAGATAATTTAATAAACTATTTTGATTAAAAGTTTTATTTTGATATCTTATTCAGAATTTATTTTGATATGACATGTTTTTAATTTTGAAATTACTATATATATATATATTTGTTACTAACGACTCACCTTGCTACGCTCAGGGTCGTGCCCAGGTGATTCTTTAAAATGACATATTTTTTTATTTATGTACCGATTGAAATAAAACAAATACTAAATTTTAAACTTACCACAATGCATTAGTGAAAACCGCACCCAAATCGGTTCAGCCGTTTCTGAGATTAGCGCGCAGAAACGCACAGACAAACAGACGAAAATTCTGAAATCATTATTTTGGGTTCTATTTCGTTAATAAAGACTTGCAAAAATTGTCTTTCTCAAATATCTTCCATGTACAGACAGCGATCAGTTACAGTTTTTATTATATGTATAGATAGTTTTTTAGATATCACTTTTGTCTGGAAACCTAATGTTTACTTTATACTTAATCGTTGTGGTATATTTTATAATATATGTATAGTATGGATTTTTATAATCAAATTTTTTGATATCGCATTTCATAAATATTTAAGAAAAACAACCTTTAAGCTCTCGTTTTTTAGATTTTGTGCCTCATTATCGACAGACATTTTGTTTATATTTGAATGGCATTTTTATATAATAATAATAATTAATATATCTAATACTTTATATTTCTCAGTTATTGTATTTTAATATCACATCCATACTATATGTATGTATGAAATGAAACGTATTTGTGGATAATTTGACAAGTTCAAATTGTAAATTGATGTTTTTTTTAATAATAATTTATTATATTACGGGATATTTTTGATAAATCTATGTGGTTTTTTTATATAATAATATGTAGAGAAAAATGCAATAATTTTTTTTCAAAATCTCATATTTCCCGACAAACTTTTTCTAAATTACTAACGAGCAGCATTTCATATATATTTCAAATTTTTATATTAGATATATTATTTTATGTTAAAGCTGTCAAATATCAGCAAAATATTTTTTCTTTATACAAGAAATTTGTCAAAAATGTTTTTTTTATACAAATTTTGCAACTGAATTCTAAAACAGTTATCCTCAACCGATTGAGTTGAAGTTCTGTATACACGTTTACTTTGGATGACAATGCATAGTTAGCGAAGTGACGTCATTCTAAATCTAATATGGCGGACTCGAAAAGATGGATCAGTATGTTTTTTTTATGCACCCCCATGATATGCATATCAAATGTATGGTATGGTTTGCCGAGAAGAATATGAACAAATAATTAAAAAATAAAAAATGAAATTAATAGTTAAAAAAACACATTTTTTAAAACACTCTTATTATTTTTTTATACATCAATGGTCTTGTCAAATTATTTACGAAAAATCAACACTGTAAATAAAAACATATATCTAACGCCATATTGTTAGTTTCTCTGCAATGTATAAGTATTGGATAATATGTGTATTGAAAATGATTTTTCTTTTTTTTCTATAGTCTACAGAATAAATTATAGATTAAAAAAAACATACATTAAACAATACAAACCAATGTAACTATAAATTATATTGCGTTGCGAAAATTTGATGTTTATTAGAGAATTTATATTTGTTTTTTGGTCGATCGTATATAAATTGCATACACGTAGAGAATGTACTGAGCAACGCTCTCGTGAAATTGAACACTAGAAAGAGAGAAAGCGAAATTGCGGCCAATACCTGTTTTAATCCAATTTGAATTTATATAATGGAATGCAAGAAATTTTTAATATTATAATGGAATGTAAAACGGTTACAAATATCTATCTTCGTCATCGATCAAAAAAGTACTAGATACACAATCAGCGACAAAAAATGTCCTCACCTAATGAGCGCTCATTTAAACATTTGAACGCGCCTTTAATTTAATTGTTTTTGTGAAAACAACTTTAAGCATTGTATTTAAAGTTCAATTTAAATTGTTGTAAATTTATTTCAACTAAAATAATTACCTAAACACAATTAGTGACAGTTTTAAAATAACATTTTTTTGCATTGGATTGTGTGTCTAGTACTATTTTGATAGATATTATCTTCATTAATCGTATTTCAATTAATACAGAAGACTTTTGGCCGCACATTCGTTTTATCTTTGTCGCACTTGTCCGCCGTTTTCAGCTGACGACTGGCAAAGAAACTCCGCTCTATGTATATGGTAAATTGTATATTTTTATAGTCTAGGGGATGGTGTTTTATTCTGTTATCATGATTAATATAATCTAAGATACGACTGTTATTTTATTGCCAATAATATTTACTATGGTTTTTATTATTATTATTAATTGTGTCATTTATTCATGAGATCTCTCATTTTGATTGTCTAAATGATTTTTTTATTATTTATACTATATGTGTATATAATATATATTTATTTACGATCGATCTATCCATCCAAGTGAATTAAATACAATATTTTTGTGTAATAAGTATTATTTCGGAAACTAAAAGGTCTCATCGATTGGATCACCGCCTATTTATTGTTTGTTTACTAATTATAGTCTTAAGGAATAGATACTGTTTTGATAGCCTTTGATTATTTAAACAAAAAACTTGTTTTTTTTTATATAAATATGTATTTAAAACATTCGTACTATTGTTTCTTGATACTGCACTTTTTATACTGTTTATGGTTATTTTTTTTGCGCTACTTTTATTTTTGACAGTGATAAGGAAGAGAGATGGAACTAAGGAACAGATGGAAAATCTTTTCATTTACAATCAAAGGCTACTCAAATAGTGTAGATTAGTTTCAAAATGAAGGGTTTTTTTATTTTAATGTAGTCATAAATGATAATATAATATTTAGGATGTTTAAATTTTTAATTTATAACTTTAATAAATCATTAAATTATCTTATATAAGGAATGCTTAAAAATAAAATACCCTAGTGTTTTTGTGGAATAATAA